TATTTGCGTGTATTTTATATCTGTGTGTTAATCGCCCTATTCATATCTCACATTTTATGACTCTTTCCAATTGCCGAAATATTTCGCGAGTGAATTGATTTCGTCTTCGTGTGCTGATTTGAATTTACTATATTTGTTCTCGTGTTCATTCTGTATTCTCCTATTTATTGAAATATTGTCGAAAGTATCTTTTGCGTCGGCGCGCTGCCGTATCGTATCGCCACAGGGTCGTCGTCCCTCGCTAAGTCCGCGTTTTGTTTTAAGATTTTTAGTTTATATAGAATCCATCAAGAGCCTATAGCTTTGCACAATTACTCTAAGGATTTTGTTATCTTGTTTCGCTTTCGCACCTTAGTGAATATCGCTTACTTGTGTAGAATTCTATTAACCCGTTTGCCGTATCGCTTCAAAATTAATTTTGTTGTTCCTGCTTTAAAAATACTGTATCTTTCTGTATGGCTTGCATGCCGCTTTTCGCTTTCTTTAATATAGCTTCGGTTCGTTAAACTTACATATTTTCTCTTCTATCTTTCTTTTACTTATTCTCTTTATCGCACGCCTATTCCTTCTCCCGCCTAGCCTCTTGAACGCCATGACGCTCTCCCAGGTGAGCTAGCCTCTGAACCGGGTATAATTTTTGGAGCTTTCGTCGACCGCTTGATTCTCTCTCTCTCTCTCTCTCTCTCTCTCTCTCTCTCTCTCGCTCCTGATTTTACCGCTCTTCGCGTTTCTCTTTCTTATTTTGGCGATGTCGCCGTTTTAGTGTTTCGTTCGTTACCCATTTGGCGGAGTCGCCGTTTGTGAACCTGTCTCTTTACGTTCTTAGCGGAGTAGCTGTTTATCGCTCTTTCTCTTTCTATCCTGGCGGTGTCGCCGTTTCTCGATCTTTCTCTTTTCTTTTTGGCGGAGTCGCCGTTCACCTATCCTTCTCTTTCTATCTTAGCGGAGTCGCCGTTTACGTATCTTTCTTCTCCTGTCTTGACGAAGTCGCCGTTTACCGATCTTTCCGTCTCCTTCTTGGCGAAGTCGCTATATATTACTATCTCTCTTTCCTCTCTTGGCGGAGTCGCCGTTCCTATCATTCCAACTCTCTTCCCTTGGCGGTGTCGCCTTACCTGTTTCTTTTTCCCTCTCGTTGTTCCGAGCTTTTCCGCGTCCTCTTAAGGATTTATACAATCTCGAGTTTCCCCCCGCACTCGCGGTGTTCTCCCCGGAGACCTCCTGGCACCCAACCTCCTTTAGGTTATCGCGTATCGGGTCTTGCGAATATCGAAGATCATTGAAAGAGAATCCTACGGCGTTTTGTGTACGGTTTCTTACTTTCCAGAGATCGCCTCTAGTTTACCCACTTTCAGATTTAGATTTTGTTTTTGTGGGGAATAACGTCGCAACATATACTGCGCGTCGTAGATGCGGATAGAATCAGCAGTATATGACTTAGGACTGAAGAGCGTGCTGAGTAGAGGAAGCCTTCTCCTTTAGCCATGTTTTTTATGCGTCAGAAACGTGCCGACTGTACTTGGCTTTAATAATATGATTTCAATACTTTTTGTTAGAGGAATTCACGGCATTCCTGTACTTGGCGTAGTTTTTTACAGTTAAGCGTTCTTTTGGGGGATATCACAAGTTTTTGGTGCTCAGCGGGATATGGAAGCTCTAAGCACTGAAATCTATATTTTCACAGATATAAAATGTAAATGCATTGTGATGGCGCTAATTGGTAAAATATATTGCGTTGTCGAAAATGTTTAATGGCATATAAATTTAATTTGTAAGTCCCTGTTTTTAAAAATGCATACAGATTGTGACGTTCTGGGTTTACCAGGGTCTACCGTAATTAGCTATCGCAAGAAGTAAAAGGAAGGGGAACGCGAAAAGAAAGGGGACACGGTGTAGAATAAGTAACAAGATATAATTGAGATGAGTAAAGGTTGATACAAAAGAATAAACAGAAAAGAAAATATAATCAGAAATAAAATACTTAGGCTAGAAGACGTAATCAAAATAAGCACGCGTGTGCTCGCTCGGGAGCACGCGGTGTCAGAGGGATTTAAATGGGCTCGGTTGGGTGAGGGGGGGGGGGGCACTAAATACTTACTGGCACTAAATATCGCGAAAACAATAAGAATTGGGCGCAAGCCACAGTTACGGTGTAGCACCGTTGAATGACCCCGGAAGGTCCTTAAATATTTACTTTACCGGAAATTCACGGCTAGCGGGGGAAGAGGTGAGGGGTCTCAGGAAGGGAGGTTCCCGAACGCAGAATGGCTTCTTACAATTTACCTCGGTTACAATATTCGAAAACGGGCGGGAAAGGAAAGGGCATGGAGGGTCTCCCAAAAAGGCTGCAAGATACTAGACTAGAGCGCGCGCAATACCACGGGCCTCGAGCTGGTGGGCGGAAGCCCGTCTGAAAGTCAAGGAGAGCTACAAAAATTCCAGTCCACGTGGGACGGCTTGCTATTGTCCGGAAGGGGCCTACGAATTATAAAACGCGCATAGAAAAAAGGGGTAGGGAACGGACGGAAAAATAGAAAAAGCAATCACACAGTACTCACGTAACAATCCACACACTGTAATCCAAAAATGGTATCCAAATTGCACTCTCGCACTCACTCGCACTCTTTAAATCTGCAACACACAAAATCCGCAAACGCTGTCGATCGCAATCTGGCTCGAAGTGGTGGTTTCGTGCAGATTTCCGGTCCTCGTTGTTTCCGTCCATGTACCTCCACGGCCTCGGGGATTGGTGGGATCGCTGGGCCGAGAAGGCTACGTGCTCTGCCATTGATCGGCAGTTTCGGTATGGCAAGGCGTTGGTCCTTTCACGTGTTGCAGGCCTGTCGGGCCTGGAAGGCAGGTGTCACGACCACGGTCTTACAGACAGGTCTGGAAACGAGACCAATTTTTAGTGGTGGGGGTAGTTACTGTACAAATTTTTTAGTTCTTCAGCGCGGCGCCACTAGTACGGGGGTGCCCTCCCCCTTTGCCCCTCACGTAACACAAGCTACGACGCGCAAGTTATCGTCGCCGGTTAAAGTTTTGCCGTCTCGTTGAATAGAGGTTTTTGAGGCTTTTGTTTCTTTGAATAAATCATTTATTAAATTATTTTTTTTTTCTTAAAAAATGGCAGTTTTTTAAAATTAATTTTGCGAGTATTTTCACTATTATATTCGTCATCAGCACATCAAAATACGTCAGAATACAAAGACCCATACTTTTTGGAGATATGCGCTTTTCGGAATTTTATCCATTTCCTTTTTCTAAACAAATGGGGTGGGAATTAGAAAGAAAAAAATCGATGGTTGGATTCGATCGCACAATATCGCTGGTATGATTCTTCTAGTTTTCCACTTGGACAAACTTCTTCTGCAGTTAAAGAAATGAATATCGCTTAAGTTCATCGCAACAGCTTAGATTTCGTAAGCTGTGGGACTCAGATATCCCCAATCAAGATTATTCGTAACATAATCGTATGTAAGTTTATCATCTTTGCAGTGAGCATCAAGTTTGTTTACATTTTTCAGTACTAGACATTGTAAATAAAGTTATGATAAATTGGGGGTACGGTAATTGGGATTTAGGCTGATCAGTAGCGCATGCGCCGCGCCTGAGAGAGACAGAAACTGTTTCCATCTCTGTCTCGTACCTCTGTACGGGTGGCGCACCTTGTGTCGTAAATCGGAGTTAGCGGATTTGGACACTAAGCGGGACTACCCCCACTACGTTCGTTTCCAGACCTGTCTGTAAGACCGTGGTCACGACGCTGGCTTCGCCGGCGCGCGGGCTGGCCGTCGAACGCCGGGCAAGATGGCGGCCTCCAGACCTCTCAAAAATCCTCCCGTGCACGTCCGAGGGGCTGGAGGGAAAGGACTCCACCCCTGTCACACGGGCCTCTTTTACTACCTGTTAGTGTCCTCAATCGAGCACCGGTGAAAATTCACGTGTGATAGAAAAGGATTTTGATTTACTTGAAGACACGGTCAATAAGTATTAACTTTATTTTCGTACAAAACTGGCGACGGACTAACAGTACGAACGCCATGACTGCGTGTCCACCACTGACTCCAACGACGCAGAACAGCGCCCTCGTACCGAGTACGGCCGTTGCCGAAAATAACACTTTTATGGGCCTAAAACATTTTGTAATGATAAAAACAAATATAATGAGAAGGATAAACATAATATCAGAATATGTTACAAGCTCACAAACGTACCGCGCGCCTTGATAACAGTTGGTTATCAACTCTCGCAATGTATTTATGATAAACTATAGATACTGATTGATCGGTAAAGTAAACAAACATATGACAAAAACTTGAATAATCCGCTCTTTTTTTAACGCAACATAAGACAAGAAATGGTTCACTTATAATTTTTCGCCATCAAGCGTATAAATGTAATGAAAATCTCGTTAAATTTCTACATCGTCTGCAGAAGCCTCTATAGGCAAAATACATAATTTCGACGCTGGTCTTTTGAAAACTCCTTTAGCCGTTTTTATAACAGCTGCTCTGACCGTCATCGCTGATGAATGGATTTATGCTCTTCAGCCTGCTTTTCTTTGAAATCTCCCCTCCTTCTCGTAGAGCACCTAATTCCTCTAAGAAGGCAGAGTGTTGTTCTTTTTTTATAATGCACTTTCTAGCATGCTCCAACTCTTCTGACGACAACGGTCCTGAAAGTTTCTGTTCGGATTCTTTTTTGCACGCTCGAGCGAATCGAATACACCATGCCACAACTCGCACGAGCTTGTTGAACGTTAAAAATTTAGCGAATGGATCGATGCCGTTTTGTATCGGCATCGCGATAGGCACTGGCTTGATAACCTCGTATATCTCGCTCTCGTCAACTTTTGGTATTTCTGATTGAGTCTTGATCATGTCATCATCTTGCAGTTATCGAGGTCCGTTCCACCACAGCTCAGAACCTTTCAATTCGTTCGGAGGAACACCTCGAGATACTAAATCTGCAGGGTTCTCCTTCGTTCCGACGTGATTTCACTCGTTAATCGAAGTCATTTCTTGAATCTCGCCTATTCGATGAGCAACGAACACGGGCAATTTCTTGTTCCGCGCTTGGATCCAATGTAAAACTATCGATGAATCTGTCCAATAATACGTGGAAATGATCACCACCTCCAATGCCTTTTTCACATTACTCATTAGGTGAGTGAGCAACTGTGCTCTGCACAACTTCAATATCGGGATTGATATCGTTTTTAAAGGCGCAACGCGCGATTTCGAGCATAATAAGTGTACCTGGAGAAACTCGATAGAAAGACTACTACGCATGTAGACGCAAGCTCCATAAGCGCGTTCACTCGCGTCGCAGAATCCATGAAGCTCTAGTCGTACATCTGGTCCAGTTACGGTAATCTTTCGTGGAATGGTGAGACCGTTCAGAGCTTGTATTTTCATCACGTAATCCGACCACTCAGTGTGAATATCTGATGGCAGAGATTCGTCGCAATCGATTTGGAGTTTTCAAAGTTTCTGAATTAGAATTTTTGCGATCAATATTGCGGGTCCCAGCAACCCGAGGAGATCAAATATCTATGCGATACCGGATAAGATCGATCTCTTCGTGTGTGAGCTCGTCCTCAATAATTCTATCGAGATTGCGTATTGCAACACGTCCTTCGTAGGATTCCATTTGACTCCTAGAGTTTTCGACGTGCCATCTTTGTTCAATTCTAGAATGGCACATGTAGTAGACGATCCTGTTGCATCTTCCAGTAGGTCCCTATTATTTGAAGCCCACTGTCGAAGCATAAGCCCTCCCTTTTAGAGCAAGGCTGTTGTTTGATTACGAATTATCAACGCATCCTCTTTAGAGTTCGCGCCTGTTATTAAATCGTCGACATAAAAATCCCTGCACGTCACCAACGCTCCTATGGGAAATTCTTTCTCCTCCAAATTGGCTAATTACTGAATGACCTTGGTTGCTAAGAACGAAGCTGGTGCCGTTTCATAAGTCAGTGTCAACAACTCGTAAGTTTTGATATCATCAGTTATTTGGTCACGCCAAACAATTCGTTGAAGAGGCACTTGTGTCTCGTCCACCAGTATTTGCCGATACCTTTTTGCAATGTCAGCGGTCAAAGCGTATTCAAAGCTTCGAAATCGGAGTAGAATTGAAAACAAATCCTCTTGAAGAACGAAACCGACGAACATGGAGTCGTTGAGCGAGATGCCGCTCGTTGTCTTACTAGACGCGTCGAATACGACTCTCAACCTTGTTGTCGTAGTGGTCTCCTTTATTACGCAGTGATGCGGCAAGTAAAAATGTGGCCGTATATCCCATGATGGACTATCGTTGCCCAACTCTCTCATGTGACCCAATTTCAAGTACTCATGTATGAAATCGCTATATTCTTTTTTGAGCTGAGGTCTTCGCTCCAATTTGCGCTCTAACATCGTGAATCGCTGCAGAGCTGTGTTTCTTGATTCTGGTAGATTTTGGAGTTGCTTGTTCTCGTTGGTAGCGTTACGATGAATCGACCTTCCGAGTTGCGCTTTTATGTCTGGGCAAAATGTCCCTCGCAGAAACGTTCCTCCGGAGTTCGAATATTTTGGCGCTCGCTATGCTCGATTTGCCAGAATCGTGAGAGGTTAGCGCTGAGCTCATCATTGACTGCCAAATGGCATGCTGTACCTTTTCTCGGAGGCATCTTCATGGCAAACTTTCCGGAGACAATCCAGCCGAGCACCGTTTTCTGCCATATCGGTTGATCCTCTGCAAGTTTGATTTTTCTATTGCACAATAATTCGAAGTATATTTCCGCGCCAATAAGCAAATCTACAGCTGACGGCTGATTAAATTCAGGATCTGCCAATGTAATGCCATCCGGGATTTGCAATTCCTCGACATCGAGTTGGCTGGCCGGGAGAAACTGCGTAATCTTTTCAATTACGAGACAGTCGAGCCTGGCTTGGTATCCTTTAACCCTTGATTGTATAGTTATTTTTGCTAACTTGCGAGTCTGCATCGATAATTCTTCCAGGCCAGAGATTGGAATGTGCATACCAAATTGTTTGAGTCCGAGTTTTTCTACGCAATTCGTCGTAATGAAACGGGATTGCGACCCACAATCCAATAAGGCTCGACAAGGTCTTGGATTACCCTTGGAGTCTACAACATTGACGACTGTTGTTGCGAGAAGCACCTGCCCTTTTCGACGAACTGCTGCAAGACTCACACTCGCCGTTGGTGCCTTTTTAGAATGCGTACCTGCCGTAGTCGCTGGTGTGGATTCGAGTTGTTTTTTTCATAGTTTGCGCACTTTCGACACGTTCCCGATCCGCACCGTTTCGCCTGATGAGATGCAGATTTCAAACAATTTAGGCACAGCTTACGCGTTTTCGCCTCCTTTATCCACTGCTCCACTTTAAGTTGCACAAATTCGTTGCACCTATATATCGGGTGGTGTTTTTCACAGAATGCGCACATTACGTTTGTTGTGGCTACGTGCACCTTTGTACTCTTGCCTTGATCAGATTTTCCTTGCTTTGTAGGGTTTGATGGACCCTTTTGTGTGCGTGAGGACGCTTCCAACGCACGACAACGTTGAGCTAAAAAATCTGTTAACTCAGTAAACTTTGGTATTTCACCCTTTTTTATTGAAGTTTCCCACTCTTTACTCGTGAGTGGATCTAATCGGCTAGTAACGAGATAAATCATAACATAATCCCACTGATCGGTAGGACGCTTCAGGGCTTTGAGGGCTCGCATATGTTTCAATACAGTGTCCAGCATGTGTCACAGAGCCACGTGATTTTCTCGGATTAAAACTGGCTGCTCGAATAAAGCTCTGTGATGCTTCTCAATTATTAGACTATCGTCATCGTATCTTTCTTTGAGCATTTTCTAAGCTTCAGGATAATTTTCATCTGATGCTTCAAGAGAGCTGACAACATCGTGTGCCTCGCCTCTCAAGACAGAGAGAAGATATTGCATCTTTTGAACACTTGGAAGCGTGGGATTTTGGTCAATCATGCTTAGAAAAATATTGCGAAACGGAATCCATTCTTCGCATTTTTCAGGAAACGTTGGCATGGTAACTCGAGGTAGTTTTAAATGATCATTTACCGTGCTACTGCCCTGTGCAGATGTTGTTCCTGCTTCTGAATTCTGCGAGTTCGAATGATTTTGCGAATCTTGAATTACCTGCATTTCCTCCCTTTTTCACTCGATTAATGTTTCTAAATTGACTGGTACTGAAAAATAACGTGCTTTGAACATATCTCTCTCTTCTTGATGAGCTGTGTCAAATTCTTCGGCGTTTTCGATCGCATTAATACCAGATTGTGCCTCATTAAAACCTTCCCAACGACCGACAAATTTTTGTAATCGTTGCCGTAACTCGATAAGTGGCGTTTCTTGCACGTTCAACTCGGTTAAATATTTACGAAATCTCTTACATGTTCCTTTGATTGTCGTGCGATTCGTTTTCAATTTTTTAAGCAGTGCAACTTCTTCGGCCATGTTGCTTGTGAAACATAAAACGCTTACACTATTATTGTTGATTTTTTGTTGAAATCAAGAGACTCGGTCGAATCTCGCGCCAAGTACAGGCAACCGGCTGTACAGGGCGCAGCGCGCCGAGACTCTTTACTCGAGTCAACTCCTTATACCTGTGTTTGGAACTGTGTGTCGGGCGTGGAAGTCCAGGGTGTCCAGGCGTTCCGCTCCGTAGTTTCTTTTATCTAGATGTCGGGCGTGGAAGTCCAGGGTGTTTAAGTGTTACGCTTCGCAGTTTCTTGTATTTAGGTGTTAGATGTGGAAGTGCAGAGTGTTCAAGTGTCCCTCTGCATAGTTTTCTGTGTTTAGGTTTCCCATTCTGAATCGATCGGCACCAAGATGTATACAATTGCTGTACGAGATCAAGGCATATTGAAAAAACGGGAGAGGGAGAGGGAGATGGAGTGGGAGAGGGAGATGGAGAATGAGATGGAGATGGAGAGGGAGAGTGAGAGGGAGAGTGGGAGAGAGAGAGAGAGAGAGAGAGCAGTTTATTCGACCCTGGAGTGAAACTCCCTAAGAGTCGTAGGCAGAAAATTACATAGGCATATTATGAGATAGGACAAGTAGTTTACAAAAATACACATATATCAATATAATATTAACAGGATTATACTAATTAAAATACCCTTATTTAATTTAATTTACTACATTCAAATACAATTCGAAGTTGTTAATTTATGTTACTTCGCAATCCTCTTGTACCTTCAAGTAAAAGTAACAACGCTTTCGAAAATCTGCTACAGTAGTAGCAGACGTTATATCCGGAGGTAACGAGTTCCAGAATTGTATGCCGGAAATTATGAAAGATTTTTGAAATGCGACTGTACGGGCAGCAGGGACATGAAGTGTATCTGTGCGAAGAGGATTACGACGCGAAATCATGTTATCACGAAGTCTAAGTTGATCCGCAAAAAGTCCTGATTGGCCCAAATGTAGCGCTTTATAGAAGGCGCATCCTAACAGCTGTAATCGTCTGTTTCGTGGGTTAAGCCAGCCACAATTACGTCTGTGATGTGATATGCTCAAATGTCTGGGCACCCTCAATAGAAACCGAACGCAGTTGTTTAGCGATACTAATAGCGCGCGTTCATGTTCACAAGACAGATTCGTAAGTGCTGTTGAACAATAATCGTAAAACGGAAAGACTAGAGCAGTGATAAGGCGACGTTTGGTGGAAACACTCAAATTGTTATCGTTAATGCGGATCCTATAGAGTGCGCCAGATGCTTTTTTCTTTATATGATTCACATGTAATGACCACGATAAAGTGTTATCCCCCAAAAAACACTTACGTGTAAAAAACTACGCCAAGTACAGGATTGCTGTTCCTCTAACAAAAAGTATTGATATCATATTTTTGAGGCCAAGTACATAAGTCACTACATGTTTTCCTATTATATGATCTAGCACTGGCCCATTATTTTAATTATATTTTCAATATTTCCTATAACGTTTTCGCTACTTTTTTATGTTACTACTGCTTCCCGTATTTAATTATGATTTAATGGTGATTTAATAATTAATAAAACTTTATGTGATTCCTTATCGAGTACTACTTGGCGGGTCCGTGCTAGGAATTCCAAAGTACTTACTTTGAACGTGCTCATAGTATTCTAATGCTGTATATTTGTTATTAAGCTTTTAACGTGATTATTTTTGACGAGTTATTGTTAATATGATTTCTATAGAAAATTGGTACTGGTTTTGTACCAAATTTATATCAAGAAATGCACGGACCCGCCAAGTAGTACTATATACATAGGATATATGAAAAAAGTTTTAAACACTGAAATCTGTTAAACAAATATAAAATATAAATGCATTGCAATGTCACTAATCAGATAAATATATTGCGTTGTCAAAAATGTTAAAAGCCATATAAATGTAATTTATAAATTAATTTTTCTTAGAAACACAAAAATATATATAAATTTGAAAAGAAAGTATATTCTTAAATGTAGAATAAAATTCATTTAGAAAGAAGTTGAGTCATTTAGGAATCTTCGTAACCTTTCTACCGTGATAATCATAGACGTGACACCAAAAGATTTCCATGAGGAAAGAAGATTTCCTCCTCATTTGCACGCTTACAATCAATTACATATTTAGTTCAAATCAAAAATCAAAGTAAATTTTTCTTTAAAATATATATTTTTCATATAATTTGTTTTTATGAAATCTGTGGTTGAATGTTTAATAGATAAAAATAAAATGAATGTTTGAATTTTGTATGAAAATTTTTATGCACGGCCCCGCCAAGTAGTACTCGATAAGGAATCACCTTAAGTTTTATTAATTATTAAATCACCATTAAATCGTAATTAAATACGGGAAGCAGTAGTAACATAAAAAAGTAGCGAAAACGTTATAGGAAATATTGAAAATATAATTAAAATGATGGGCCAGTGCTAGATCATATAATAGGAAAACATGTAGTGACTTATGTACTTGGCCTCAATAATATGATATCAATACTTTTTGTTAGAGGAATTCACAGCAATCCTGTACTTGGCGTAGTTTTTTACACGTAAGTGTTTTTTGGGTGATATTCCTTGCGATAGACGTATCTGACTCGTACACCGCCACTCGCGTGCCTCGACGGAGCAGTGGGTAACTTAGAACAGTGTCGTATACTGTCGATAAGATCGTATTTATGCGTAGAACTCGTCACCCCAGCGGTCGGTACGTCACCCTCTCGATGTCTCAATACATCGCGTGCCGTTCGACTAACTCGCTTCTGATTCGCACGTTACAAAATGGCGGCAACTCGCGTTACAATAATCACGAATGCCTGAAAACTCTCGATTGACTCGCGAGACGAATGTTCATCCCCGAATATTTGCTGATGCAACTCGTTGTCAAAGCTCGACACACTGATCACGATACACGCACGAGCAATTGCTGACGCATCTCTATGTCGATGCTCGATGTACCGGTCACGCACACGCTGTATTATCTCGGCGTCACAACTAGGGAGACGCTAGCGAGAACAATGTGTCTTTTTGTTTCGGTTAATCCGGCTCGAAGGACCAATATGTTAGTGTCCTCAATCGAGGACCGGTGAAAATTCACGTGTTGATAGAAAAGGATTTTGATTTACTTGAAGACACGGTCAATAAGTATTAACTTTATTTTCGTACAAAACTGGCGACGGACTAACAGTACGAACGCCACGACTGCGTGTCCACCACTGACTCCAACGACGCAGAACAGCGCCCTCGTACCGAGTACGGCCGTTGCCGAAAATAACACTTTTATGGGCCTAAAACATCTCGTAATGATAAAAACAAATAAAATGAGAAGGATAAACATAATATCAGAACATGTTATAAGCTCACAAACACTACCCGTGTGACGGGACTGCACCGTAGCTGCATACTCGTGGTGTTGGTGGCGGGTTGGCGGGCATCATCCACACAGATCTCGATCAGCTGTTCCTCCTGTTCATGCCATCCCTGCCTTCCGCTCGGCAACATAGCCACTTTCTCGATCCGTCCCGGGTGCTGTTGCCCTCGTAGAAGGTCCGCGATGATGGACCTCGGTGACAATCCTTGAGCCAGTGCCCTAGGGGAATGGTGGCAAGAAGGGAGGGGTGGAGGGAAGGGATCTTATCTTAAATACAATAGGCCTAAAACAATAGAATAATACGATAAATAATAATAAATACAAGACGTAATGCTCAAGACGGAGTGCTGTGTATTCCTCTAATAAAAATATTGATATCAAATTACTGAGGCCAAGTACATAAGTCACTACATGTTTGTCTATTATATTATCTAGCACTGGCCCATCATTTTATTTGTATTTTCAAATTTCCTATAAGCTTTTCACTACTCTTTCATATTACTACTGCTTCCCGGAGTTGATTATGATTTAATACAATTAGAAAATACAATTAGAATGGTGGACCAGTGCTAGATAATATAATAGGCAAACATGTAGTGACTTACATACTTGGCCTCCATAATCTGATATCAATACTTTTTATTAGAGGAATACACAGCACTCCTGTACTTGGCGTAGTTTTTTACACGTTTACACGTTTACACGTAAGTCTTTTTTGGGGGATAGATATTCCCTGAAATGCCTATGGATGGGTAATAGAGATTTAACACGTGAGGAAGTTTAAATAGATATACAAGGAGAGTTCTGGATCAAGATTCCTGCACCGACATATTACCGACCTCAGGGTTCGCGTTCGTGCTAAGTTAGCGATGTTGGCGCCCCCTCTG